TTCAATTTTCTATACCTGGCTCCTTGGCACTAGTGATATGGGATAATGTAGCCATTGTCACACTTCAAAGACAGATCTATACTTAACGTTCAAATTCGAATTCAAACTTACACCCTACCATTACCGCCCGTGACTCAACACAAGCGAACAATTCACCTCTGACTCGCGATCTGATTGGTCGTTCACCATTCAACCTCTTACCCACATCAAACTCAAAATTCAAATACACCACCAGTGGACCCCACACATGTCCGCTCCTAACGATTACCGAATGGAATCAACGGTCACGATCAGTTCGCAATTCAAATCACACCCTTGCCCGCCTCAAAAGCACCATAAACAAAGATTAAATACCAAACAGTCCTCTCTGTCCCCCCCCTCTCTCTCTAAAACCCCTCGCTTTCTCTCTCTAAAAAACTAGGCATCTTTTTTTTCCTCTGCTTCACTCTTATTTCTCTCTATCTCTGATTCTAGCGCTTTCTCTTAAATTTCAATAAGAACAACCCTAGAATTCAAGAACCCTAATTTCGATAAATTTTGGGTCTTTTTTCTTGCTCAATTCGCGAGCAAGAAAACAAGGCTGAACAAGTTTCGATTTTCCTGGAAAATAAACAAACATTCTTTCGTAATGTCGACTCAGAATCGGCGTTCTTCGATTTCGTCATCGTCTTCGTCGGTGGCGAAGAGGCAAGCGTCTTCGTCGGAGAATCTTGCGAAGGTCATGGCGGTGCCGCCGCATATGGCGAAGAAGAGGGCGGCGCTTGCTAATGTGACGAATCAGAGACACGGCGGCTCTCAGAGTGGATCGCGAGGTTTGGTTTCCGGGTCGTCGAATATGGTATACATTTTGTTCATTTCATTGATTATAGGTTTAATTTTGGGTTATAACTTGATTCTGCATGAGTTCGTTTCTTTATTGTTCTTTATACTTTTTCTTTTTTCTTTGTTCTTTTTCTTTTTAAAATGATAATTTTTTTTCTTGATCATGTTGTAATTTAGTTGAATTTGTTTGGAATTTATTTTGGTGTGTAGAATGATCAATGATATTGATGATATTGATGATCTTGAATATGTTTGACAATTATGTATTTTTATATGATATATTATTAATAAGAGACTCTGCTTTGCTTTCTGAAAATTGTTTTATTTTTTAAATATTTTTTTAACTAATTCTTTGTGTCTCGGTAAATGTCATTTTTTCAAAATGTTTTATCCTATTAAATCAATGTAGGACCATTTTCAAAGAAGACAAGTTCACAAAACAACAGAGATTTTCACGTTTTCATAGAACTCAAACTAACAAATGATATAAGAAACTGTTAATTACACAGCTGCATATAAATATAGACAGCCACTAATGTGACTCTCTCTCTCTCTCTACATTCGTCCAAAAATCATGGGATTTGATTGTGTATTCTTGTATATAATTTGGCTTATGTAATCTCTTGTACATGATCAATTGATTTATGCTATAATCATGGGATTTGATTAGATACACCTGTATACATATCAATTTGAGCATAATAAGAAATTGAGTTGTTTCTTTCATTTTGCAGCATCTTATAGATTTTGTTCTACTATTACAAGAAACAAATATCTTTAAGAACACTAGAAAAGAAAGAAAGGAACAGAAATTAACCCATCCTTATTTTTATTACAAACTAATCCAAGAAGTAATCGTCAATCAGTTGGCACATTATTGTATTATTATGAATTGGTTGAAGTATAAAAAAAGGGGTCAACTTTCTGACTAAGCATGTGGAAAATGTGCAATAAAAAAATGTTGAATGACAAGACACAGGAATATATGACATGCAATTCAAACTCCGTAAACTTTGTCAGTGTAGTATGCAGAAATTTAAATTGAATATTCTTTATCTTATTCATTAGAAGTTGAGTTTGTAATTGTTTGTTCAAATATGTAAATCTTTTATTTAATAACTACTAAAGCACATATTTCATAAAGGAGCTTGAGTAATTATTTCTTCAACTGATTTTTTCAACCAGCAATTGAGCTTTTGGGCACTACTCGAAAGTGATGCTCCTGTTTTGTTCCGAGAATGATTTTATTTGAGTATATCTTGATTCAACGATTGAGTAATACAATTGTAAAATGTATTAATCTTTTTAGCATTATTTGAGTAAAAACCCTTTTAGTGATTTTATCATTATTACAATAGAAATTTCATTGTAAGAGTTGGATATTGGCTTTCAATAATATGAGAAGGAAGTTGGATAGGTTTCATTCAATATGATGTCCAATTGTTCTTCAATCTACTCTCTGGGTCTTTCACCCTTTTTTTTGTGTTGGGCATAAACATTTTATTTCAGTTTCCACTGTTAGAAATATACTTGTTTTTTAATTGAGACAAATGATTAATCAAATTTTGTATTCAAAGGTACCTTGCGCAACTAAATTTGCCAATGCCAAGAAGGTATCGTCTTCTTGCATTAACAATAATGCAGGCTTCTCTGGAAGTACCTTGCCAGCACCCTTGAATGTGAAACCAAGTGTGGTCGTTTCCAGTAAGAGTACTTCTTTCATTAAAGGCAATGATCTCTCAAGGATTATTGCTCCTCCTGCCCCATGCAGCATGGATATTTCTCCTCCTGAGTCAGATGGTTCATTTTCTTTGGATGAAACTATGTCTACTTGTGATTCTTTGAAGAGTCCAGACGTTGAATATGTAGACAACAATGACATAGTATCAGTAGATTCTATCGAGAGGAAGACATGTAGCAAACTCTACATTTCAGAGCACGTGGAGGAACCAGGTTTCATTTTACCATCTGTCTACTCATTGATGTGGTTTTTGCTGTCTTCCTTTTACTAGATTTTGTATCTTATTCTTTGTTTAGCATAAAAGCTGGATTGCAACTATGTGTGTATTAAAGTCATTTACCCTTCTTTCTATTCACAGAAAATATTTGCAAGAGAGACATAGTTGTGGGAGTGGTAACAGATGATGAGATTGTTGATGTTGATGATAATTTCATGGACCCACAATTATGTGCAACCATGGCTTGTGACATTTACAAGCACTTGCGAGCATCTGAGGTTAGACATGTATATTTGTTTTATGCATTGTTTAGTGGGCATTACTAAATAAATGCACACTTTTAACATTCTTTGCCCATGTTGAACATTATGGGTTCTTACTCTATTTTTCTTTTTCTTGCGTATCTTTCTTTTCTTCTTTCTTCTTTTTCTCTCTGCGGGAATATTAGGCAAAGAAAAGGCCTTCCACAGACTTCATGGAAAGAGTCCAAAAAGACATTAATTCCAGCATGCGTGCAATTCTTATTGATTGGCTTGTTGAGGTAATGTATGGTGGGTGATTGTGTTAACAATTTGGAATAATATGTGGAAAAGTTGGTTTAAATTGCAATACTTGACAACGCGATTGTTTTTATGTTACCTGAAAGGGTTACTTATTTTAATCCTGTATATGGTGAACCTAATCTCTGACTAGAAGTTTTCAACCTCAGGTTGCTGAAGAATACAGGCTTGTCCCAGATACAATGTATTTGGCTGTTAACTACATAGATCGCTATCTTTCTGGCAACACAATGGATAGGCAACGGTTACAATTGCTTGGCGTAGCATGCATGATGATTGCCGCGTAAGATGCAACATTTCCCCCTCTTCTGTTTATTTTCTCTGCTCTCTCGCTCTGTCTCTCCAATACATATGCTCTTTTGCTGAGGAAACAACATTGATAGTAACAAAATAATTGAAATTGCCAGAAAATATGAGGAGATCTGTGCACCCCAGGTTGAAGAGTTCTGCTATATAACTGATAACACATACTTCAAGGAGGAGGTTGGTTCTGTTTTCACTTAGCTGAATTATGCATTTTCTAGAAGTTGTTTTGATTTTTGCACAAGCATTAAGCGATTTAACTGCTGCAGGTTTTGCAAATGGAATCGGCTGTTCTAAACTACTTGAAGTTTGAAATGACAGCACCAACAGCTAAATGTTTTCTGAGGTAATGTCTAGATTCTTGATCTTATTTCCATAGTTTCTATTTTTCGTGTAAGATGCTCTTGGTATTGACCCGTGATTAATTGACACGTAATGTAGGCGATTTGTTCGTGCTGCTCAAGGGGTCAACGAGGTATAATCTTGGACTCGGTAACTGATTGTTGGTTTTCTTTGCTCTAGTATGTCCAAAGTTTGAACATTATAATTTTTGGTAGTTCTTCGCTGTCTAATGCCTTTATACAAGTTAAAGGTCAATATCATTACATTTTTAACCAATTACAATCACATGTTTTTCGTTCAGAGACATATTCATTTCTTATCCAATTACTGATTAATATTTTGTAGGAAATCAATTAAACACTGGTTTATTTTTGTGGTTTTATCTGTTGTCCTTGCAGGCTCCCTCAATGCAGCTGGAGTGCTTGGCCAACTACGTCGCAGAGCTATCCCTTCTAGAATACAACATGCTTTGTTATGCCCCCTCACTTATTGCTGCTTCAGCAATTTTCTTGGCCAACTACATACTCCTTCCTTCGAAGAGACCTTGGGTACGTGCTGGTATATATATATTTACAGATTGTGCTCTTGCATAGATATCAGAATATGGTTTCTCAGATTTTCCATTTTTCTCCTCCTGTTGCAATCTGTCTTGAACAGTGTTAAAGTATTCTAACATTTGTATTGATACAGAATTCCACCTTGCGACATTACACACTTTACCAACCCTCTGATTTATCTGAATGCGTTAAGGCACTGCATAGCCTTTGCTGTAATAGCCTCAGTTCTAGTTTACCTGCAATCAGAGAGAAATACAGTCAACACAAGGTAATCAAAAGTTTTTCATTTTTTATTCTCTCGCTTTCAACATCACCCACATCCACAAACACCATTTGTGTGTTAAGTTTGGACCTAAACTAACTGCCTGCTTGTTACTTGTGTGTGGAACAGTACAAATTTGTTGCGAAGAAATACTGCCCGCCTTCAGTACCTGCAGAGTATTTCCAGAACCTAAGCTGCTGTGGTAACAGATGATGAGATTGTTGATGTTGATGATAATTTCATGGACCCACAATTATGTGCAACCATGGCTTGTGACATTTACAAGCACTTGCGAGCATCTGAGGTTAGACATGTATATTTGTTTTATGCATTGTTTAGTGGGCATTACTAAATAAATGCACACTTTTAACATTCTTTGCCCATGTTGAACATTATGGGTTCTTACTCTATTTTTCTTTTTCTTGCGTATCTTTCTTTTCTTCTTTCTTCTTTTTCTCTCTGCGGGAATATTAGGCAAAGAAAAGGCCTTCCACAGACTTCATGGAAAGAGTCCAAAAAGACATTAATTCCAGCATGCGTGCAATTCTTATTGATTGGCTTGTTGAGGTAATGTATGGTGGGTGATTGTGTTAACAATTTGGAATAATATGTGGAAAAGTTGGTTTAAATTGCAATACTTGACAACGCGATTGTTTTTATGTTACCTGAAAGGGTTACTTATTTTAATCCTGTATATGGTGAACCTAATCTCTGACTAGAAGTTTTCAACCTCAGGTTGCTGAAGAATACAGGCTTGTCCCAGATACAATGTATTTGGCTGTTAACTACATAGATCGCTATCTTTCTGGCAACACAATGGATAGGCAACGGTTACAATTGCTTGGCGTAGCATGCATGATGATTGCCGCGTAAGATGCAACATTTCCCCCTCTTCTGTTTATTTTCTCTGCTCTCTCGCTCTGTCTCTGCAATACATATGCTCTTTTGCTGAGGAAACAACATTGATAGTAACAAAATAATTGAAATTGCCAGAAAATATGAGGAGATCTGTGCACCCCAGGTTGAAGAGTTCTGCTATATAACTGATAACACATACTTCAAGGAGGAGGTTGGTTCTGTTTTCACTTAGCTGAATTATGCATTTTCTAGAAGTTGTTTTGATTTTTGCACAAGCATTAAGCGATTTAACTGCTGCAGGTTTTGCAAATGGAATCGGCTGTTCTAAACTACTTGAAGTTTGAAATGACAGCACCAACAGCTAAATGTTTTCTGAGGTAATGTCTAGATTCTTGATCTTATTTCCATAGTTTCTATTTTTCGTGTAAGATGCTCTTGGTATTGACCCGTGATTAATTGACACGTAATGCAGGCGATTTGTTCGTGCTGCTCAAGGGGTCAACGAGGTATAATCTTGGACTCGGTAACTGATTGTTGGTTTTCTTTGCTCTAGTATGTCCAAAGTTTGAACATTATAATTTTTGGTAGTTCTTCGCTGTCTAATGCCTTTATACAAGTTAAAGGTCAATATCATTACATTTTTAACCAATTACAATCACATGTTTTTCGTTCAGAGACATAT